GTTGGTGGAAATGTGGTAGAAGTTATTGGCTGGTGGTGACCTAAAGGCCCAAGGTTCAAACCCCAGGAATGCCAATGTGACCTTGATCAAGACACTAAACCTCCGGCTGCTCCTAGGGGAACTTTTCCGGGGTAAGTTTACTTGTTTTTGATATAAAACGTCTGCTAAATGTAAAAATATCCCAATAATAACTAGCTGAAGTTGCCAGAATTCACACTTTAAAAACATGAAGATTAATCCAAATTATCATTACTGGAAAGTCTTGCAGAAAGTGCCTCTCTTCATGAATGTTTAACAATTAATGTGAATCGTCATTCCCAACCCATTTTACTTCTTTAATGTGATGTATTTCTATTTGAAGTGGGATATTCTTTAACAAAAAAGGTAGTGTTGGTCGTTATTTTGTCCTTTGAGAATTCATTGGATTGTGAAAAGTGAGTATTAAAGGAACCAAACTGAATGTTAGGTTGTTGGCTATTGCTTAACATTATCCAATACATACATTAAACAATTTTGAGTTTGTAATTGTATATGAATTATTCTCGACTAGGTAAACAACTAATATGCCAAGTCCATAAAAAGCAGTGGTACAAATACTATCCAAACATTTCATGGACATAATTATGCCCTCAAATTTTCAAAAGCACTTGTTTAGAGGAACTTTTCATGAAAAAGATTGAAAAACTGCTAAACACAGTCTATAAGTTCATCTTGCAGTGGAAAATATCCTCCAATCTACGTTCTTCACACATAATGGAAGCCACTGCTAGACTTTTTCTAGAAACGCACCTTTTCTTCCCTCTGAAGAAATCTTTCGTGTTTTTCCCCGCACATTATTCCCAAAATAAAAAAAGGCATTTTTTTGAGAACACCGTATAAACAACACCTCCGTTTTCATCTATGATATTTTAGTTTTCACAGTTCCACCAGGCATAACTGTTAGCTTTTGAGGCTGTCACGTGAAGTGCAATGAACAGAGGGCATATGTTTCTATGGGGATGTTTATAACTCTATAAGTTCTATTGGGGCGGTGGTGGGGGCTGCAATTTGATCAATATGTATGTATATCTTGTTTTGTCTGCTTTTTTGTCTGCATGTGCTTTTTAGTGAAAGTGTATGTCTCTGGACCTGTGGGAGCAGTTATCGAGTACTTTGCATATCTAGCACTTTTTGTCGTTTGAATTGAACAGGTAGTGTGAATGCTTCAGCGCTCTCATACAGCTGGTGCTTGACCCACCGCTTGGCAGTGGAAAGCTCTAGAACGAACATATTCAAGAGCGCGTTTTTTTAAACTTTGACCTTCCTATCTAGTGTTTTCACATACTCCATATACCTATCCAGGGACTCATGGTCAATCCTGAAAAGTAAAGATCGGAATTATTCTGAGATTTGTGGTAGTTCGTTTTCTCTCCCTACATGCGTCCCCCGTCATGGCCGGTGCGCGGTTGCTATGGCGACGGCGGTTGGGCTGGTGTCGGTGGATGTGCGTGAGGTGCTGATCTCCTGTACGTGTGTTTGCGCGTGGCTGTGCCCCCTGCAGATGTTCTTCAGCTCCCCCGTGCTTCCTGCCAGCTGCTGCAGCCCCCTTCCAGCGCCTCATTAACGAAGAGAGCCACCGCACACGCATCCATAATTATACATGCACACGCGTCACAACACTGTAACACTACTAATTCCAGCCTAGACTCGATTAACCACATTTATTTAAGTTGCGGTTGAGCGTCGGCAATCTCTGAAGAGCAAGCACACAAGCAACCCCTCACGCATTTTTATTTATTACAACTATAGATTCATATTATTCAACATACTTTTAGAAGAGATTTTTATTCTTAGTACAGTAGTAGAAAGAGAACAGATCATGATGGGGAGATGGATTATTGGGTGGATTCAAACTCAAGTCCCCCTGTATAGGCAAAATGGCTCACAATGTAAAAAACAAAACTCAGAATCGAATAACTGACTTCCATTTCAGTTTTGAGTGTGAATTTGAATTGATTTAGTTAGTCCCCAGCCCACAGGACATTTAGTCTAGAGCTACAATAACCATCATGTTTACATACATACAACGGCTCTGCACTTACTTACGATTTCTCTCAACATGGGGACAGAAGAGATGTCAGTCAATAAATGGGAAAACAAGTCACTAGAAAAAGTAACTGTTTTCTTGCAAATTTAAAAGTAATGCATTACTTGACTAGTTACTTGAAAAAAGTAATCTGATTACTTGACTGTTACTTGCAATGCATTACCACAACACTGTTAGCATTGACTTACATTGTGTAAAATAATAAAATCTCAACTTTTTTATGTTCCACAGAAGAAAGTATAAGTCATACAAGTTTGGAACAACATATGGGTCAATAAATTTTCATTTCTGGGTGACCTATACACTGTAAACAAATATTGTTGGTTTAACTTAAAGTAAGTAACCTGGTTGCCTTAAAATTTTAAGTTCATTGAAATGGAAAAAGTGAGTTAATACAATGAAGGAGAATGATTTAATCATCAGAAACTCAAAATTATATGTTATCTGAACTAAATAAATTATTTAAGTTGATTTGACAAAAGAAAAAAATGTACTAATCTCATGATTACTAATCATGAAAAGATGTTTCTCTGCAAACATTTCTGAATTTCTTCACTTCCACTGTAAAAAACATTACTTACTGAATTAATCATAACATTTATTAACCATTTGCCATCAATTTTAGAACATGTTTTCCACTGAACAATTGAATTTCATTCCTATTCTATTGCGTCTTCTATTATGTTACTTTCTGGTCATTATTGTCCCTTGAAACTTTTCTAATCATGAAATCATTAGATTTCACTAATTATGCCTATTTATTCCTGATATAATACATTCTTTTTCCCCCAACTGATTAACATATTTCTCCAAATTAATTTAAATACTTCCAAAACATTTTACAAAGCCAAGAATTTTATAGCTGGACATAGAACCACTAATATTTGTAGGTATCATCATAAAAAGGTTACATAATTAATGGATCTATGTATGACAACACTGCTCAAATGAATGTGTTGTGTACTAATAATATTGTAAGTGTACTAATGGTACGTATCTCAGAAATGCAGATATGAATTCCACTTCCTGTTTACTACCTTAATTCAAATGAAATTAAAGAATTACATTGGAATTTAAAGAGCTTTCTCAATTGTAATCTCCATTCTTAATTGCTCACAACAGTGGCATCCACTGTAGGCAATGGCTTTTACTCAAACGCACTGTTACTACACCACTGTCTCCCCCTCTCTCACTTTCACATATTTCTATCTTGCACTCATTCACACGCTCACACACATACTGGAGATAGTTAATAATTTCCTAATTTCCGCTCTTCACGGCATGTGGAAGGTGTCTGAGATAACCTGATTTATCAGATGGGTATTGGCTGTATTAAAGTGGTGGACATTAATGGGTACATCGTTTAAACCACATTGTGAGACTAATGGATTTCAAAATGAATTTGTAAACATCGCAGCCGTGAATACAATAGCTGAATAAAAGTGAAGCGATGGCCATGACCCCGGGCGTGTTTGAAGTGTGTGCATATGAACGTGGATGTATGTGGATGTTCTCGAGGGTTTGAGAAACCATTACGCCAAGTCCTGACCTTCGTTCTGGTTCATGTTTGCTATGTGACCTGGAACAGCGGTGGATGGAGTTAAGATGGCTACGGTTTCATCTTGAAACCTAAAAGTCCTAGCAATGAATTGAATCACTCCTTATCATAGATCAGTTTTGTATTTTCCCCTCATAGTTGTCAAGGTTCACTGAAGAAACTAATCCTGAACTTTTCTCAGACTATCCCTGTCTGCCTTTTTTTAATCTACATGTCGTTTGCATACGACAAGTTGCTAATTTGATATACTATAGCATTGGATATTGGCTTTATTGATGATGTGAAGGAAAGGTCGCAGTTTCACCCTGATAAACAATGCACTTGTGTTCTTAGTTCTCGCTGTTTCTTCTTTGTAAAGTGTACGAATTAGTGTGCAAATTGCCTCTGTGTGGGGGCTGTTATAGGCCATTAGAGTGTATAGATGTGTTTACTCTGCATATGGAAGTTTTGTTTACTTATGACTGAGATGGCTTGTGTTTGGTGATGCATGTTGCCATCAGTGGGGCTGCTGGTGTAATGTTATTACAGATTTGAACATGACGCTAGCTGCTAAAAACATTATCACTCATCTAGCGCAATCACGAGTGAGAGAGAAGGGAGACCGACAGAAAGAGCGAGCGATTAATTTGGAGAATATTTAGAGTTCTGACAATAGAAGAGCACAAAGGGAATCGTCACAGCGAGAACCTGCAATAACAGATGATCTCTGTTGCTGCGCGTGTTCTGATGACTATTGTGCAAAGACTAATTCTCATGTTATTTTTGCGCTCTTGCTTCTTTTTCTCAGACAGATCAGAGGGAATAACAGGAAATAATTTAGGAGAGGATTCAGGAAACATGGTAGGCCGGAACATTAAACATTTGTCATTTGAATAAGCACCAGAGCACAACATGACAGGAGAGTTTGTGATAATCACTCTGCCACAGTCACCATTTCATACCCTGTTTTTCTTCAGGAGAAATTGTGTGTTTTTATTTGTGACGGTGTATACATCTATATGTGTGTGCAGCAATTGTGCTTAATAAGATGACAACATGGACGGTCTGTATCAAAGCAGAATGTGTGAAACAGGTCTGCAGTCACATAAATATTACCTTACACATTGTTCTGTAAACACTGCTCTTTCATTAGAAGGAATGGTCATAACATTTTAAGCTAAACCCAATGGACAATAAACCTTTGCATTCTGTCAGTGTATTCAGTGTGCACATCATGTGCGTTTTTCCTTTTAATTATGTTCTTTTACTTCAGGTCATTAAAAAGTCAGTTTTCCCAAAAATAAGGCTATTAAAACGTTTAAAAAAATGCACAGTTAATTGAAATTTTATTTTGTAAAATAAAAATTAAATTACTAAATTAAATTAATAAATTAAATTTTATATATATATATATATATATTGTGTTATGAGTGAGTTTTTTTTTTTTTTTAGGAAAATCCTACGAAAAAGTATTTTACTGAAAGTGCTGATACCCGCAGATACCCTAA